GTGGGACACCTGCCACAGCATGGCCTTCTGAGTGGTGGATCTGAACCGGTGAACTCCCGAGCTGCCAAAGCGGAACGTGCACGCTCAACCGCTGTGTCACTGGGCCGGCCCCTAAGAAATCTTTGTCTAACTGAAGATCACAAAGATTTTTCTCCTCTCTTGTCTTCTAGAGGTGTTATAGTTTCAGTTTTACATTTCTGCCTTCTGGACGTCTCTGTAGCTTCGTGAAGGCATCATCTCCACTTGCTGTGCCCTGGGCTTCACCCCTCACCTCTCTGCTCCTGAGTCTTGTTCCTCTCCCCCTCTCCCTGTGGAACCCCCAGAGCCCCTCAATGAGTCCGGGTGGCGTCTTACTAGCCCGCCCTGAAGCACTTGGCTTGCGTGCTGTGCCGTACCTCCTCACACGCTAGCTTCTATCAACCCTTTGAAGAGCCTGCCTTCTCTGGGCACTGTTGTTCCTGGGCTTCCTTCTGCCGTGGACCTGGTCAGGGTGTTGAAGTCATCATGACCTGGGTCTGTCTTCTACCCGACTCTTCCACCACTAGAACTACCCCTTGTCCTCCCGCAGGCCCTTTCCCAGGGCCCAGTCAGGGCCTGGCACAAAGGAGGGGCTCTGGGAAGGTTTGCTGATTGAGAGAAAACTCTCTCACTCTCTCTGCCCCTAGCCACAGATGAGGCAACCTGGGGGTGAGAGACTTAACTCTCACATTTTTTTTTTCTCCTGAGGAAGAGTTGCCCTGAGGTAACATCCTTTGCTAATCTTCCTCTTTTTGCTTGAGGAAGATTGGCTCTGAGCTGACATCTGTGCCAATCTTCCTCTATTTTATATGTGGGATGCTGCCACAGCATGGCTACCGCAGAGTGGTGTAGGTCCATGTCTGGGAACCAAACCCAGGCCACTGAAGTGGAGTGCACTGAACTTAACCACTAGGCCATGGTGCCAGCCCTCACTTTTTTTTTTCAAAGATTTTATTTTTCCTTCTTCTCCCCAAAGCGCCCCAGTACATAGCTGTATATTCTAGTTGTAGGTCCTTCTAGTTGTGGCATGTGGGACGCTGCCTCAGCATGGCTTGATGAGCGGTGCTAGGTCCGCGCCCAGTGGATACGAACCAGTGATACCCTGGGCCACCAAAGCAGAGCACACGAACCCAACCACTCGGCCACGGGGCTGGCCCTGAGCCTCACATTTTTAAAGATAAAATCCCAACTCCTGGGGCCAGCCCGGCGGCGCGGTGGTTAAGTTTGCACGTTCCGCTTCAGTGGCCCAGGGTTCGCCATTTCGGATCCCAGGTGCGGATGTAGCATTGGTTGGTACACCATGCTGTGGTTGGCGTCCCATATATAAAGTGGAGGAAGATGGGCACGGGTGTGAGCTCAGGGCCAGTCTTCCTCGGCAAAAAGAGGAGGATTGGCAGCAGTTAGCTCAGGGCTAGTCTTCCTCAAAAAAAAAAAAAAAAAAATCCCAACTCCCTGTGTGGGCTATGGAGCCCACGATGTGGCCCTGGGGACTTCTTTGAGTTTGTCTTGTGCTGCTTGCCTCTTGTTTACTGCTGGCCTCTTCATTCCTTCAGCATACCATGCTTGTCCCTGCCTTGCCCTGGGAAGTGGGTGACCTCCCTGCTGCTGTCTCTGCTAATTCTCTTATAATTCAGGTCCCGGGTTGAAAGTCCCCTCCTTGGGAAGGCCTCCTTGCCCTGACTGGTCAACCTAAAGGGGTCACTTGGTCACTAGCTGCCATCATTGGTTGCAATTGTCTTGACAGCACATCCTTGACATCTGATGTTTTCTCACTTATTTGTTTGTGGTTAATACAACATCGTCTTCAGGAGAGCAGGGGTTTTGTCTGCTCGTCGCCCTTATTTTCCTCACACCTGGAACCGCGTCCAGCCCTCACGGGGCTCTGTGTTGAATGGTGAATATTGGCTGTTGAGTCTAGTAAATCAGGGCAGAGCTAGCGGAAGGACCCAGATGTCTCCTGCCTAGAGTTACCCAGCCCTGCCACAGCCCAGCAGCCTTTTGATCAGGTCTTCATGCTGGGGGGGGGTCTCAGCCATGTGTAGCTGTGTGGTCCTGCCCAGGGCTCAGCCCATCCTTCTTTCCTTCCCTCCCTGGGAAAGGTGTCACAGCACAGGGTCCTCCAGGGCCCTCACCAGGGCTTGGGAGCCAGGGGGGCCAGAAGAGGTGCTGGCCCGGGGACTAGCCCAACTGTTCCTTGTTGTACAAATAGGACAGATAGCAAGAGGGGAGAAAGGTGTTCGAGGTACAGAGAGCTGGCAGGTGTGAGGACTGAGAGCCCACATCTCTTGCTGGCAGTAACATTCCCTGAATTACAAACCAGTGGATCAGCAGGTTCCTCTTGCCCAGGGGCTTGGAGACTGCCTGGCCGGTCCTCAGGCCCTGCCCAGGCAGGCCTGGGCCGAACCTGCCAGGCCCAGAGAGAGGAGGAGGGTGGGTGAGAGTGTGCCTCTCCACCCCCTGACTCACTCAGGGGGAGGTGGCAGTGGCGGGGACCAGACAGTGGCATCCCCTTGGCCTGCAGACAGGTGCTGACTCAGGCAGGCAATGACAAGGGAACAGGGTTCTCCTGCTGCTGTGACCTCACCTCCCAGTCTGCTCTCCAGGGAGAAACTCCCAGGAGGATTTGGGACACACATCAAGGGCCCTCTCCCATCCTGAGGCTGGAGGCTGGGCCCCTGGAGAGGAGGAGTGGTGATCAGCCTACTTTACAGGACGCTGTCTTGCTGGGGACAAGCAGCCACCCACCTTGGCAGAGGACAGAGTTGGGGCCAGCCTAGTCTCTGCTCTGAGAATGGAGTTTCTTCTTCCTCCCCAGCCTCGTCCTGCTGCTGGCGGGGTTGGGTTTCGGCCTATTTGCTGACGTAAGGAAGCATCCTGGACTGGGTTGGCTGGTGGCATTTGAGGATGGACAATAATGGCCCTGATGATGAAAATGATACTTGTTGTTTACTCTGGGCCGGCCACTGTGCTCAGCATTTTCCTCCCATTATTTCATTTAGTTTTCACAAGTAAGTACAATTAATATCCCCATTTTAGAGGTGAGGGAACTGAGGCGCCAGAGTAAGTGGAGGGGTTTACTTGAGGTCACTGAGCTAGGGAGCGGCAGGGGTGGGAATTTGCGTTGTCTGAGGGAGCAGAGTCCAGACTCTTCGCCAGGCACCCTCCCTGCAGGTCCCTGGGAGGGGCCTTGGCCTTGCTCCTCTCCTTCCTGGCCAACTTGTACTCTTTCTTCGCCTCCTGATTGATCCCTGGGCTCTCAGTCCCCCTGGACTGTAACTGTCCTGTAACTGCTGTCCCACCTGTGCTCCCGGGGCACACAGTGGGTGCTTATGGATAGAGGGTTTGTCAAGTGAATACATGTGGCTTTTTTCCGAGGAACTCTCTTGTGTACCAGAATGTTCTTTCTTCCTCTGCTGCAGAGCAGGGACCTTGGGCAGCCCTTTACCCAGGTGTCCCCCTCCACTGCTTCAGAGCCAGTGAACGTTGTGACTAAATGGAGGCACAAGTCATTTCTATGCCTATGTCTTGGAGAATTTGGAGGTTTGTTCAAATCTGGGCTGGCCGGGATGGTGGTCTCAGCACCTGAGCTGGCCTCCCTGGGCCTTTCTGCTCTCTGGCACATGCACAGGGAGTGGGAACAAGTGACTGCGGTCACTTTCTGTGGCAGGACCTGTGCTAGGTGCTTCCTTTATAGGAACATGAATAGGAATGAGTGTGCAAGGGGCCCTGGGGCCCACAGGTGGGCAGGCAGCCTGTATACAGGGACACAGGGACAGGCTGGGCTTCTCCCTGTTAGGACAGAGGAGAGCGAGACCCCTGGGAGTGACCTTCTGTTTGGCAGGCCAGGGCCTGGCCCTCCCTCTGCTGGACAGGCTCCATGGGGGGAGCAGCCCATGGGAGGGTGGATATCAAGGGCTTCTGGGACCGTGTGTGGAGGCTGGATGTTTGGCCTGAGAGCTCCTAGACCCAGTCCACACACTTGTGAGGGGAGGGATCGGTGCTGACCTGTTCGGGGAGTGAGGGGCCTGAGGAGACCCTCATCCTACTGATGCCCCAGAAAAGCTACTTGTCCCCTGCACCAGCCGGGAGGGGGCAAGGTCAGCCTCCCATCCCCGCCTCCAGTGTCACTCTCCCATGGCAGTTACTACAGCTTTTCACAAGAAAAAGTCGCACATGGGCCCAAAATCTCAGCTTTCCCATCAACTAGTTTTGTGAATTTAGCAGGTCATCTAACTTGGAGCCCGTTTCTCAATTGTGCTGTGGAGACAATACCTCCAGCACCCGGTCTCTGCAAGGGCGAAATAAAAGATTCAACAAATAACAGGCTGCCCTCTTAACCCAGGACCCTGTGGGGCTGACCTGGGATAGGAAGGTGGAGGCGGATGGCGACCCCTCTCCAGCCCATGGCTCAGGCAGGCTTTCTTGTCCCTAACACAGCTCTGCTCTGGAATTGCTCAGCCCAGAGAAGGGCCGGGAATCCAAGCACCAGCTGTGTGGACAAAGCCTGACGGGGGTAGTTCTAAGAGTCTAGCGGTCTGGGGAGGGCAAATTCTAGACGTGGAACAGGCTGGAGGCTGATCCCTCCCTCGGCCTCACCTTAATGACTTTATAGTATTGATGCAGATCATTTTTCAAAATATTTTAGTGGCAGTAATTATGGAATAGGCCATTCTTAAAAAAGCCACAAAGAAGTATCCTGTTGTCCAGGCTCTGCTTCCAGGCCTGGCTCCTCACCTCTGGCAGAGGGAGCTGGGGCAGTTCCCAACCTTGCGGAACCTGTTTCCAGTGTGAAAGGCCTGTAGGAGTGGGCACTTCCAGGTGTTCTGTGTTGATGGCATAGGAGGTAAAAGGGCCGGGGAGGCTTATGCCCATCCGGGGGGCAGGTCAGGATGACCAATTGTTTCCCGAAGCCAACAGGTCACTCCCACTCTCTCCATCTTAAAGGGGTCCCAGAAATAAAACAAGCTGGGAGCAAGCAGAAGGCTATTATATATCATGCTTTTAATACAAACTTAAAAAAATCTGGAACAATATAAACTGTACAGATTTGATCAATCCTTTTGTTTTTAAACTAAACCTCTAACACACCAATGTCCCATTCCAAAATATTGCACAACATTCTGAATACAAAACGCTTGATTGTATTCCTCCTTCACTAAAGAAAACAAGTTCCTTACCCTGCCCCCCCAAGCTCCTCTCCACATTGCCTCAATGCCCCCCTTCCCGTCCCTAGGGGTCAAACCAGAGAATCTATAGCTCACTGCATTGAGAAAAATCATCATTCTGGACTAAAAGCTTACATTCTTTACAAGACAATCCACCTTTTGATTTGTTCCTGGGAAAGGGGTAGATAGAGAGAGGATGGGGAAAGGGGAGAAATAGGTTTTAGTCTCCTCTTTTTTTATTTTAAAGTTTGTTTTTCCTGAAAAAATATCTTTCTGTCCTCTTTTTAAGAAAAAATCTTGAAAAGAAAAAAATTACGTTTTTTACGTTAGAAATATACATATATTATATATACCTCTTACATTTTACAAATGTAGCAAATTATTCAATACAAACGGACACCAAAAAATGTAAAAAATAAAAAAAAAGTTTTCCTACGAAACCAGGTAAATTAGTGCAGATTTTTGTTTTTGTTTCCTTAAAAAAAATAAAATTGAAGCAAAAATGCCTAGATTTGAGACGAGACAGACTGAACCAGGCCTAAGAGCCCAGCGCTGGAGTCATGCTCCTGAACACACATTTTTCCTCGTATTTCAAAAGATACTAGGGGCTAGTCCCCCTCTCCCTGTGTGGTGAGAAACAAGCCAACCAGGTGTGGCGGTACCTGTGTGCGCGAGTGTGGGAGGAGGGGGCTGGGAGGGGCATAAGGCAGCATCCAACCTTTCCCAGAGAGCAGCCATCTGCCTGGGCACGTGACCTGTGTGGGAGCTGAGGGCTAGGGAGAGGGTGGCCCGGCCTGGGCTGGCCCCTGAGAAGTGTAGGGGGACAGATGGTGCTGGGCTGAGGAGCCAGGGTATTGCCTGGCTAGGGGAGGTAGAGCTGGTGCCCACTGCAGGGAGGAGGCTGGCAGTGTCTGTCTGGGCTGGACCCACTGCCATAGCAGTTGCCCACTTGAGGGTTGCCGGAGAGGGTGGGGTAGGGTGCCAAGGACTTTGGTACTTTCTGATGGTGGGGGGGCCCTGATGCCATGCACCCCACTTGCCAAAGCATCACGGCATGGAAGCTGGCCCACTAGGGTTGGGTCAGAGAAACAACTTCTCTCCCGGCAGAGGCGAGAGCGAGTGCTCTTCTGTAAGCCAAACACACCACCTGCGACGGCCAAGCGCCTGTTCAGCCCAGCTTGCTCAGGAAACCACTCCTGGGCCCAGTGGGGTTGGGTCGGGCAGTGAGGGGATGGCAAGAGGTACCAAGAAGTTCTCAAGCAGGCAAGGGCAGAAATGTACTAAAACAATGTCTATACCAAAAGACCAAAAAGTCTCAACTCAAGGCTCAGGACTGCCCACTTCAGGCACCGACTAACTCCCGCCCCCCAGGGTGCTCAGGTGAGCAGCTCCCATCCCGGGCTAAGGTCACACAACAGGAGAGTCTGAGTTCAGGGGCTTCTTAGGCATCAGAGGCTTGCTATTCCCTCAGCCCCTCACACTAACCTTTTTTTTGGTCAAAAACAAACAAAAGTGCAGATCCCTCCGCAGTCTGAAACCAGTTCCTTCTGCAGTGCTTTCCCCTGGGAGTGTCTTAGGCTCAGCTGCAGTCTCACCCCACCACGTGAACCACCCTACAAGAGGACTGACACGCCGTCCCTGGCCCGTTCCCCAACCTCAAACATGAGTAAGCACTTGCTCAACCCAGAATCACACCCAGAGGGGAAGTTCCACATGGTTTGGAATCCTTTAAAACAGGACGGCAAACCACGCACATGCGCAGGCACACCCCCCCACCCACACTTGTCCCACCTCCCCACCACCACCTCAGGCCCAGGGAAGAAGAGGCCGTGTGAGAGAGGCCACATGTCAACGGCTGGGTCTCCAGGGCCATGATGATAGGCTGGGCCAGTTGGGGATGGTGGCGTGGAGCCATAGGACAGAGATGAAAGGAATTCCACTAGACAGAGTGCTAACCTCCCTGGAGTCAGAGACTTCAGCTCTAGGGGGAGGGTGTCAAGCAGCCAGCCGGCAGCTCCCTGTGGCCCAGGCCTGAGAGGGAGTGGAGGCTGGGGTCAGACCTATTTGGGTGGCAGGGCCCAAGAAGGCCTGCTGAGGTTGGATGGCTTTGAGTGAGAGGATAGCTGGGTGACAGAGGCAGTGACACAGGGCAGCCTCTCCCTGTTCTGGGGAGGGCCAGGCCCCAGCTGCGGCTCTTCCTTCCCTGTGAGCTTGGACACACCAATCCTAAACCAGGCGTGTAAAGGAGGGAGGGAGGGAGCAGGGAGCAGCAATTCACATCTGGACCATTCTTAGCACAGGAAGCCACTAATTAAATATGTTATATAGAAAACTACATGTAAAAAAAAAAAAAGAAATATAAAACCCAAACCAACCAAATAAATCAGAGGCAGGCAGGAAAACAGCAGGGGGGTTGAGTTAAACACGATCGGGTGCTTCGGGAGCCCCTCCCCTTCCATGCCTGGGCTGGATCTTTTTTCTAGAAGTGAGAGTGAGAAGATTGGACATCTTTTTGTATATTTTTCTTTTCCTTTTTTTTTGGCCTTTCCTTTCCTTTCTCTTTTCTGTGGTCTTGGGTGCTCCTGGCCCCGCAGGCAGGTGGGTGGTCAGTTGGCCAGCACCACAGGCTGGAACGGCTGGCTGGGATATTGCATGGTGTTCAGGTTGTAGCTGAGGCCTTCCACGAAGGGCGTCTTCTCCAGGAAGAGGCTGTTGGTGCCACCTCCGAACACCTGGGCCACGTCAAAGCTGCTGCTGTTGCAGGTGCCAGCCCCACTGCCCCCAAAGGGGGCTGGGGTGCCACTGCCCTGGCCATCAGCCCCATCGAAGAAGAGGCTGGGAGAGCCAGCGCCGTTGTACACAAATTCCTTGGCATTGGGCGAGAGCTGGGATTGAGGGGCGGGGCTGGCCGTGATGAAGTTCAGTGAATGCACAGACAAAGAGAGGCTCTTGTGCTTCAGCAGGCTGTTGGTGGGAGAGCGGGCCATGCGCGGCTGCTGCTGGGAGGGCTGTTGGCCACCTGCCCCGCTGCTGGCCACACCCCCACCACTCGCTGCCCCACCACCCTTCTTCATCTTGGTGGAGCCAAACTTAGTGGCAGCGAAGGAGGCAGTGGTAAAGGTGATGGGCTGGGCAGAGCGGGGGATGAACGTGGGGCTGGGTGACTGGCCAAAGGATGGCGATGGGGAGTTGGACAGGGAGCTGTCCTGGCTGCCGATGGGCACAAATACCTGGGCATCGGGGTTGAAGCTGCTCTTGATCTCCTTGTCCAGCTCTGGGGCAACACAGCCCTCACTGTCATCCAGGTACAGGACTTTGACAGCCCCCTTCTCACCAATCTGGTAGGACACCTCAAAAGGGTCAATCCAGACACTCAGCTCCTCAGGCACATTGGCCCGCACATCCTCTACTGCCAGGCCACTCCGCTTGGCGGCCAGCTCCACCACAGGGTCCACTATCTCCCCAATATGGACACAGCGGAAGCCAGAGCCCTTCAGTGGCTTGTCAGGGTACCAATGGCCTTCATATTTCTTTTTCAAGAGGCGTTCTAGCTCCTCCCCAAAGAGGTCTGCCCGGCGCCGGGGCAGCTTGTTGTACAAGTAGGAGATGATGAAGTTCAGGGCCACCTTGATCTCCAGCTGCATGGTCCTTTCCTAGGCAGAGAATCAGAGCAGGGCACGTGCACAAGCCAAGGGCAGTGGCAGGAGATGGAAGGTGGGCAGCCTTGGGCTCTAGATGGCTCTGGGAAATGAGAAAGGGCATCATCAGTTTTTTGTTACATGCTGTCAAGTCAGCTCCAACTCCTGGAGACCCTGTGAATGAGTGATGTCCACAATGTCCTGTCCTCAACAGCCGTACTCAGCTTTTGTAGACTCATGCCCATGGCATGAGTAGATATGCAGAAAGCCAGGGGGATCAATGGCGAAGGACAGACAAAAAGGCACCAACTCTGGATCACACAGACCCAAGGTCTGTTCTACCAGTGACTAGCTTAATTGTGTGACTGTGGGCAAGTCACTGTTTTTCTGAACCTTGGTTTCATCAGTTAACATGAGGCAACCATGAAGAATAACTTAGTTCAAAGATATAAACTACTGCACACTGTACCTGGTATTTAGTAGGACTTGATAAAGGCAGCTATTATTTTTTAAGTATTTCTAAAGAAATAGGGGCGCTGTGGTTTCTACTACTTAGAGAATTCAGGTCACTGTATACGACTGACACCAAAAAAAATTGAGCCCCTACTTCAGCCAGAGAAGGGAAGGCTCTTACTCACTTGTCCTTGCAGTAACTTGGTGAAGTCATGCTCCCAAACTGTCACAGGCCGAGAGATAAATTTAAAATCTTTCTCAAGGACAGGTCTGACCACCTGTTCTTGGCACCAGATCAGATTTCTCAAGTGTTTGGAGAAATAAGTTTAATAAAGTTTTCCTCCTTAAATGGAAAGGGATACAGGTCACCGAACAGGAAGGGGCACTGCCAACTTTTCACAGAGGGCTTGGATTCTAGTCACATCCAATCTGTCACCCCGGGCTCCCTGGGTGTGTATGCTCTCTGGCTCACTCTGGGTTTGCAGAACCGATTTAAAAACTCCACAGTGTAACCAAGGTGTGCACTGCCATCCAGAAAGCCTGCAAGAATGGAGACAAGAGCATGATCTCCAGGAACAAGTCAAGACCTGTCACAACCAGAGGCGTGGGTCAACAGAACTGCTGACCGGGGGCTGCTCCACGGAAGCAGGGCCCTATAAAACAAAACGTTAAGAGCGGCACTGGTGGGACCTGAGAGAATCTCTGTAGTTTCTGGCTAGAGGGTAGATGATGAGGGGGGCAGAGAGAAGAAATTTTCCATCACCCTGCAGCCTCCAGCTGGGGACCCATCATCACTCAGTCTCCCAGGGACTGTCTGACCACCTGTCCTTGGCACCAGATCAGATTTCTCAAGTGTTTGGAGATCCCTGGAGAGAAGACAGTCCAAGATAAACACTCAGATTGTTATTTTGGGACTCTCTCACAGCCAGATCCCACAAAGGTCAAAAAGGTTTATTCCCAAGGTCTGGGCCACCTCGTGTCTCAGGAAGATGATCTGTGAGGTCCTGAGAGCCAGTGACCCTAATCTCCTCACTTTCTCCAAAATGGCAGCTCCTAGCCTCCTGCTGCGGGAGAACGGAGCTGAAAAGGGCCACCTTTGAGGGCAGGCAGGGCCCGAACATGTTCCTAGCCAGACTTCTGGGGGAGACCGTGCTGCCAAGCTCAGCACAGGGACAAGACTGATCCATGATCGGTCAAGGGCATCTTTTGTCCCGTGAAAAGACCTGGGGCTGGATTTTGATTAAAATCCCTGGGTCCAGCATAGAGTATCCAGGTACCAGTTCTAGGCTTCAGGATCTTGAGTTTTCTGAACCTGCCTCAACTCACTTCCCTGTAATTCTCAAGCCTGAGGCTGTAGCTCCTTGGGACATTTCTGTACTGAATCCTCAGGCAGAGATCTCTGGGGTGAGTATCAGAGAAGACGCACTGGGTCAATCTAAACCTAGCCCCCAGGACCACAGGGCCCCTCAAGAACAGAGGTCTGTAAGGGCTATAGTGGTCCACTAGAGATATTTAACACAGAGGAGATTAAAAAACTGTGAAGAGGGACCAGCCTGGTGGTGCAGCGGTTAAGTTTGCACGTTCCGCTTCAGCGGCCTGGGGTTCGCCAGTTTGGATCCCTGGTGCGGATACGGCACCACTTGGCAAGCCATGCTGTGGTAGGCGTCCCACACATAAAGTGGAGGAACATGGGCATGGATGTTAGCTCAGGGCCAGTCTTCCTCAGCAAAAAGAGGAGGATTGGTGGCAGATGTTAGCTCAGGGCTAACCTTCCTCAAAAAAAAAAAAAAATTTGTGAAGAAAGTTAGCAGTGATTCTCTAGGATGAGCCTGGAGTATCCTATGACAGTAGCTAGGTCTAGTCCCACCTTCATTTCAGGTCTGAGCAGACAGACAGGGTCATGTGGGGAGTCAACAGAGGTGCCAGGAGCATGGCCTCTCCCAAACTCTCCACAGGGACGCTCAGGATTCAGGAGACCCTCGTCTCCCCTCGATCCCAGCCCCCAACACAGACTTGATCTCCAGGTTTCTTCAAATGTCTATTCATGGTCACCACAGATCAAGTCCACAGCCCTTTGGGGTTTAAAGAGAACTAAGAAGAATGGTAAAAATAAGGGGCTTTCTGTTTATGAGGATTGGGTTTGTCATCAGATGCAAAGCTAGCCACCAGAACTGTGGGCCCCTCAAGAGCAGGTCTGTGAGGGCCACAGTCCATTAGAGGTGTCCGACATGGAGGAGACCAAAAAGTTGTGAATAAAGTTGGCACTGGTTCCAAGAACGGGCCTGGAGTTAAAGATAATGTTTCCAAAATGTTTTTGAAAAAACAGACTCAAACATGACATGTGACACTTTTCCCAAGGTACCATATGGCCTTTTGCTATGCTACCCAGACCAAAGGGCTCCTACACCTTTCTAGGCTTCCTCAAACCTTGCTGCATAATTGCCTTCCAAGTTAACCCCCTGAACAGTTCAGTCTCAGAATGGGAGCATTTTAAATGCAGGCCAAAGTCATTGGGAAATAAGCCTCCTACCCTAAAATACAATAGAACCACTGTCATCTGCCCTGCCTAGCGAACCATTTTCTGCAGCATAAGCAAGTAAAGCTGCACACCAATTTGTTCCTCAGTGTTGCCGCCGCACAAATAAGGAAGTATATAATGGCACCTTTGCCTCTTTGATGGGAGAACAGGCCAGGCCAGATGGCTGTGGGGTGGAACCTCACAAAAACGCAGGACAACCAGAATGAGATTTTCTGCTCTATCAGCTCAGGCTCTAATTTTGACTTCAAGAAGCTTATGAAACAGAGGATTAAGGCACTGGTGTTGTCCTGTCTTTAACTAAAGATAGGAGCGACCACTCAGATGAGTTTGCTCATTTTTTAAAAAGGCTATGGACAAATTCTAGAACATATATAAAATATTCATAGAATGTGATAAGATCAGAAACAACCACCCTTCAACAAAACGAAAAAGCAGATTCAAGTTAAGCAGCAGGAAAGACCTCCAAGATTTTTTCCAACAGTGACTAGGGCGCAAAAGGCTGGAAAGGTGGCAAAAAGCCTGAAAAAAAACCAACAAAAACCCCCCAAAGGCTAAGTGTTAAACAATAGCAGTATCTACTTTCTGTCAGTATAGTAAAAAGTTGCAGGGCTGGCCCCGTGGCCAAGAGGTTAAGTTCGCACACTCCGCTTCGGAGGCCCAGAGTTTCACCAGTTCGGATCCTGGGTGCAGACATGGCACCACTCATCAAGCCATGCCGAGGCCGCGTCCCACATGCCACAACTAGAAGGACCCACAACGAAAAAGACACAGCTGTGTACCGGGGGGCTTTGGGAGAAAAAGGAAAACTAAAATCTTTGAAAGTAAATTCTGTCCACTTTTATTTAATATCTCATTCTCCTTACTTACTTCCAGTAACAAACTTAATCCTGGATTCAGATCACTTGTGCTGACTTGTGTTTTTGTTTTTTAAAATTATTTACTTATTTTCTCCCCAAAGCCCCCCAGTACATAGTTGTAGATTATAGTTGTGAGCGCCTCTGGTTGTGCTATGTGAGACACCGCCTCAGCATAGCCTGATGAGCGGTGCCATGTCGGCAACGGGGACCCAAATTGGCGAAACCCTGGGCCACCGAAGCAGAGCGTGCAAACTTAACCACTCGGCCATGGGGCCAGCCCCGACTTGTGTTTTAAAGACTAAGTGCTTCACAGAATGACAAAAACAGGGGAAGGCAGGGGCCACCCTGCCAAACAGGTGACGCAGTGGTTAAGTGTGCATGTTCCACTTCTTGGCCACAGGGTTTGCTGGCCCAGATCCCGCGTGCAGACATGGCACCTCATGGCAAACCATGCTGTGGTAGGTGTCCCACATATAAAGCAGAGGAAGATGGGCATGGACGTTAGCTCAGGGCCAGTCTTCCTCAGCAAAAAGAGGAGGATTGGCAGCAGATGTTAGCTCAGGGCTAATCTTCCTCAATAAATAAATAAATAAATAAATAAATAACAAAATTAAAAAAAAAAAACAAAACAAAACAGAGGAAGGCAGGTCCAGTCAATGATAGGTAGCAGAGTTTCCAGAGAACTCTGGCAAAAATGTGAAGGTTTTTTTTTGGAAGATTAGCCCTGAGCGAACTACTGCTAGTCCTCCTCTTTTTTGCTGAGGAAGCCTGGCCCTGAGCTAACATCTGGGCCCATCTTCCTCTACTTTATATGTGGGACGCCTGCTACAGCATGGCTTGCCAAGCAGTGCTATGCCTACACCCAGGATCCGAACTGGTGAACCCCAGGCCGCCAAGAATCGGAATGTGCCAACTTAACTGCTGCGCCACTGGCTGGCACCGGACGGAAAGTTTTTAAGAAGAAAAAGTTATGTTTTAAAGAGGAAAAGGAGGGATAACGGTGAGGGAAGCCATTGGGCCCCCAAATCATGGGTATCTTTAAAAATATTCAGGCACCTCAAGCCTAAACATCCTACATCCTTATCATCCTTACAATCCAGCACGACTGGATTCAAACGAGTGTGGAAAGGGGAATAGGGGAGGAGAGGTTCTCAATTTTGACAAGGCCTGTAGGGTACCAGGGAGTAAGAGCCAGGCTCCAGGCGGGCCAGGCGACGGCCCCTCCCGCCAGTCCCAAGGCGGTGGCCCAGAGGGGCGGGTGTGGTTGAAAGGCTTCCAGGACTTGTCCTACTGACTGCACGACCCCGCCCAGAGTATCACACCATCTCCCCCAATCATGGACCGTGCAAGCCCAAGACTGACTACAAGGCTTCTCGCAACTACCAGATCCCTTTCTAGGGCACTCTAGGTTCCTCCAGACCCAGAAAGACTTGACTGAGCCCCAACGTAAGTGGGGAGGCCGGCGGCGAAGACACGCTCTGCACTCTGGGAGTCGTAGTCCTCAGAAACCTCACGCTCAGGTTGGAGCAAGTGACCTATTTTCTCCCCACACTACACTTCCCTGCGTGCTTTGCGAAGGCTCAGCCGGCAAACCACGCATGCCCAGTACAGGGAGCTGGCAGAGGGTCGGAGAACGAAGGAAAAGTTTCCGACGCACATGCGCGCTGTGGCGGACGGTCGCACCGCCTCCCCCGCCCACCGCCTAATACACTTTATATAAATTCTACCTACCCATAAGGCCTACTCTCCGTATTGTATCACCCCACCATCTCCCTCTCTCAGCTTCACGAGAGGCTGAACTTTTGCCCCGTTCTCTTCACCGCCTCCTATAACTGGTGAATTATGAAGATCTGCTTCTGATGAGTTTTTTCTGGGTGAAAGCGGTAGGCTGAGATAAATAAGATCACCAACCCCCAACCCTACCGTTTAATCTGTATTCCTTGGCGGGGTGGCCTCTGGAGTTGCTGTAGGGACGGTGGATTCAAAGTGAAAAGAGCCTTTTCACTTAATGCCCAGCGGGCTCGGCTCCAGCACCCCCACAGCCGGGAAAGGAAAGGCAGGAATTAAATCCAGTTCTCCCGTCCTCTTGGCCAAAGAAATTCCCAGTTAAGCTGCAGGGAGGTGCCGGGCCAACAATCAGAAGGCCCGACGCCAGCAGGGCCCAAGCCTCACCCCTCTTCTAATCTAAGTCCGAGTAACCAGACCCGGCGAGGGAAATGGGAAAAGGTTCCCGGGAAGGGAAGGAAAAACTGTACATTCGACACCTGAACAACATCTTCTAATACTTAAAATTGTTTGTGAGTCTCCACCCACTACAAGGCCTGCTCTATGACCAGACTTACCAGATCCTCGGCAAAGCTCCCCTAGAGGGTGGTAAACCTCCCTAATCCTTCCTCCCACACAAGCTTCTTCCCCTCCTCTGCTTAAGAGGGGGATGGGGGCAGGCGCCCAAGAAAGGAATAGGGGTGTTTTTCCGCTGGACAGTCAAAGATGAGGGACCCACTCCCAGGGTAGGGTGGGTAGGAGAGAGAAAAAGGGTAGATACTCAGCAGGCACTCGAGACCCCTCCGCTGGCCCCCAAGTTGAGACCTGCTGTGTGGGGTTCTGGTTCTGGGGGGTGGGAGAGGGCCTGCCAGTGGCCCCTCTTCTCTGCTCCTTCTTTCCCCTCCCTTGCTGGTCAAGGGCACAAGTCCATCCTCCGGACAGGAGCGGAAGGAGCTTAGCAGCAGGGCTCTTCCTCCCAGGCACCTTACCAAGATCAACCAGAATCCACTCACTGGTATTGCTGGAAAGGTACTTTTTTTCCTCCCAGTTTTCCCTTAAAAGAGAATAGAGTTCAAGCCAAAATGGTGAATTCTGGCTCGGCGGCCCAGAGGACAGTCACCACTGACTGGTCCAAAAGAGGGGTGTTCACCCTTCATCCCTCAGGCTTCACAGGGCCAGAAATAAACCCTATTAATTATTAATTACCACCTCCTTCCCTGCACACGGGAAAAGCAGAAAAACAAGGCCTGGATCCCCTTTCTTCCTGATTTATTTAATGGTGGTGGGAGTTAGGTTTTTTTGAGGAACAAGGAAAATCTAGCGAGTCTCTAGGATATGAAGAACTGAGGGAGGCGGAGAAGGGAGAAAATGCACCCACCCAAGAGAGGGCCACACTTGGAAGTGGAGACAAGGGGCCTCTGGGGTACCCCAGGATGAGAG